TCTGTCAAACCTCATTTTGTTCTTGTGAGCTATCTTTGCAGCCTTGTCCATAGCTAACTTGTAGCTTTCTTTGAGACGTGACTTGAGCTTTTGCACATATTCAGAGTGAGATGAGTGTTGTTCCTCTTGTACTGGTAAGTTGAATGCAAGGTCAACTGGCAACCGAGGTTGGCGTCCGAACATCAGTTCGTACGGGGTGAAACCAGTCACTTCATTCCTGGTGCAGTTATAAGCGTGGACCAGGGGTCTTACATGGTCACGCCAACAGGACTTATCTTGATCACGGAGAGTGCCCAACATGTCAAGCAAGGTACGATTAAATAGTTCCACAGGATTGCCCCTAGGATGGTATGGGGTTGTCCTCACCTTGTGGATACCAGCCACCTGACAGAGTTCCTTGGTTGTGCAGGACTCGAAATCTGGACCCTGGTCACTATGCAATTTTTCTGGGATGCCATAGTGTACCATAAAGTTCTCCCACAGACACCTTGCCACTGTGCGGGCCTTTTGATTAGGTGTTGGGATAGCAACTGCAAACTTAGTAAAGTGGTCCGTGATCACCAATATATCCTTGGTTCCACTCTTGTCAGCTTCCAGGGACAAGAAGTCCATGCACAAAAGTTCAAGAGGTCGTGTCGTATTAATGTTGACCAAGGGGGCCGCTCTTTCAGGCCGTGCCTTCCTCCGCACGCACCTGCCACACGTCTTCACTTTCCTTTCCACGTCCAAAGCCATCCTTGGCCAATAAAATCTTGTCCTTACAAGGTCCAGTGTACGATCGACTCCCATGTGACCCATATAGTCATGCAGGCTGGTGAGGACTGTGTTGCGAAGCTCAGCTGGAAGTACAAGCTGGTAGGTTGTCTGCGACCCCTCTTGCCGTCGCCGGTACAAGACATTGTTGCGGAGCTCAAGACGGTTAAGCTCTCGGAGGAGCAGTGGAAGTTCAGGGAGCTGTGTACGTACGGTTGGAGGTGGTGTGTCCCCATATTCGATCTGAGAAATAACATGCTTTATACATTGATCGGCTCTTTGCTCGTCTGCCAGCTCTGCCTCAGTTAGATGGGGAATGGTTGGCATACCTCCAAACTGTTCCTCTTGCCCATAGCTATCAGGTACAGCACTAGGAGACATAGCAAGCACCTCCACCAAGGCAACACAATCTGCATCTGCCTTTCTTTCATCGTCAGGACTGACGCTGTAGGTGAACTGCCTCTCACAGATTGCTTTCACCACAGACTGATTTACGGCATTGATGTTGTCTGGATCACAAAGGTGATCTTGAGTGAACTGTTGAATGCGTTCAATCTCTTTTTGTGATTTCAGATCGTCCGCTAGCCCTCCGTGTGGTCTGCGTGATAATCCATCCGCATCTCCATTCTGCTTCCCTGGACAATAGAGGAGTTTGAAAGAGAATGTGGACAGTGCTGCTAGCCACCTATAGCTAGTTGCGTCAAGTTTTGCTGAAGTCAGAATGTAAGTCAGCGGATTACTATCCGTTACAACAGTGAAGTGGTTGCCGTAGAGATAGTCGCTGAACTTTTCTGTAACTGACCACTTGAGTGCCAGAAACTCCAACTTGTGCGCTGGATAGCGATTTTCGCTCTGTGACAGCCCTCTACTTGCATAGCCTATGACTCTAAGTTGTCCCTCTTGCTCCTGATACAATACAGCACCGAGCCCGGTGGTACTGGCATCGGTGTGCAGTATATAGGGTTTCTGGGGGTCAGCGAAGGCAAGTACAGGGGCAGTGGTGAGACTTTGGATGACTGACTCAAAGGCTTGCTGGCAAGCTGGCGTCCAGCGACCTCCGAAAGGGTCTTTTGGGTCATGGTACTGATGTGCACTTTGTCTTGCGTTTACTTTTGATTTCTTGTAGCTAGGTGGGTACCCCGAAGTTAAGTTGTGGAGAGGTTTCACAATGCTGGAATACCCCTTAACGAACCTTCTATAGTACCCAGCAAAACCAAGAAATGACTTTAACTCTCGCAGAGTCTGTGGGACAGGCCATGTTTTAAGAGCCGAAATCTTCTCAGGGTCAGTCTGAACACCATTTCTGGAGACCACATGTCCCAGATAACGGACTGAAGTCTGGAAGAAGACACATTTCTCTGGTGACAGCTTTAACCCAAACTCTTTTAGATGAGTGAGCACTTTCATGAGTCTTTCTTCGTGTTCCTCAAGGGTTCGGGAGAATACTATCACGTCATCAAGAAAGACCAATGCATCCTTCAAATGCATATCCCCCATGCACCGCTCCATTAACCTCTGGAACGTGCTGGGGGCGTTCGTTACACCCTGAGGCATTCTGTTGTACTCCCATAAGCCGAGAGGGCACACGAAGGCCATTTTCGGTTTGTCTGCTTCTTCGACCTCGATCTGGTAGTACCCTGATTTTAGATCAAGAACAGAGAACCACTGTGAACCATTGAGGGCTGAGAATGTGTCCTCTAGCTTCGGAAGGCTGTACGCATCTTTTATAGTCTGGAGGTTTAGACGCCTATAATCAATGCACAACCGGACTTGGCCGTTCTTTTTCCGGACTACCACTATGGGTGACGCAAATGGGGACTCTGACTCTCTAATAACTCCTGCATCAAGGAGTTCCTGAATGTGCTTCCAGACAGCCTCAATGTCCCGTGGGTGGATTGGCCGGGCACGTAGTTTGAAAGGCGTGTCATCCGAAATTTTTGTATGATATCGCACCTGGTCCGTCCGGCCAAAATCCAGGTCATGCTGTGCAAACACCTCAGGCATGCCGCTGAGCTGCTGAGTGATGCGCTGTTTCCATTCCAGTGGAACTGGGGAGTCACCAAAATTGAAAGTTATGGTGGGCTCTTGGAAAGACGGAGTCTCTGGAGTTCTCTGGGGTGGTTCTGACTGTTTGCTCTTGTTGTGTTCCTTTAATAGGATGGTCTGATAAGCACTAACCTCTGCAATAGTACACTTGGCAGGGATGACAATGTCATGGTCAGACTCATTGCTTATAACAACTGGCAACTTGTGGGGCCGCCGCTGGGGAAAGTCAACCAGACCGGCTTTAAGTAGCAGGCCACCGGGCAAGGGGGACGATGACGGATACTTGTTTAAAGGTGAAACTGTACAATCTCGCCTCTTTGAAGTCTGTCTTTGCATACACCCATCTACATCATGTGGCTTTGACATCTTACTCTGCGGCTTCCCTGCAGATCCCTTACTGTTTGCAAACTCTTTTTTTCTGTGACATGAATGTAGTTAGTTGACTTTGCAGACTTGCCACCTGCTTTCGCAGATCCTTAATAGCAGCAATGCTACTCTCATGTTTCTCCTCTGGTTCACAAACATGTGCACTCTGGGACTGTAACTGAGTTCTCTGCTTTGTGGTGCCAATGTGTTTTCTCATACGACTAGTTTTTGCTTGCTGTCGATCTTCCTCAGAGCAAATCATTAACAACAGGTCTGAGAATTGGGGTGGGCTGCTCTTCTTTTGTTCAAGTTGCAGGGCGCTGAGTAGGTCATTGTCCCAACATCCCCTGCAGAACTGTTTAAGTAGGTGTTTGTCCACTTCTTCACATGCGACTCCCCCCCTCTTCGTGGCTCTGTTTAATGCTAGCTGTAGCCGGTGAAGGTAAGTGGATGATTTCTCACCTGGATCTTGAAGGGTGTTCAGGAATTGAGCGAAAAGCTCCTCCCCATCTTCTACAGTGCCAAAGGCAGAATCTAGAAGCTGCAAATAAGTTGCAGGTGGTGACTCGGGCCGTAAACTCTTAACTATATCAGCTGCTGGCGGGAGCAGGCTCTCATGGATCTTTCTGGATATTTGCAGGGGGGACATGCTGGGATCATTTTGGAGCAGTTCAATTTGTGTGCGCCATGTGTCATAATCAGTTTCGTTATTAGGTCTGGGAACCTTACCGGAGAAGGAACGGAGTCTCACCTGGGACTGGATGTGTGGGACAACATCTTGCCTTCGTACGATATGCTCTACCACGACCTTCTGAATATCAGGTGGGTTCAAGTCACTTACTGAAAGGGACGCTGCTCTCCTTCCATTAGTGAGGGGAACATGATCAGTGGCACCAATATCACTTGGTGTAACATCTGAATGTGAGGTGTGACACTGTCGCTCTTTAGGAGCGGGCGGAGATACAACAGTGGTCTCGACATACGTGGGAGAAGGTTCTTCAGTGGTAGGTCGCATGGCTTCAACATCCTCCCCAATCTGACACATCATCTCCTTCAGCACCTCACCGTAGTCTTTGCCACTCAGCTTGGCTAGTTCCTTGAGTTCAGCCAAGTAGGTCTTTGTAACATTACTCCCAACCTTGGTAGTGTACATGCTACTGAGTGTTTTAATTTCATAGACAACGCTGGGATCAACTTGTGCTGTGTACATGTATGGCAAACGAGGTTCTAAACCTTCTAAGGCTGAACTGCTAGAGTATTCAACGATCAGGTTTTGGTAGAAGTCAGACAGTGAATCATCAACAAAAAGGACTCTTGCGATTTTACCATACTGTTTCAGAAAGTCAATGACGTGTTCATCTTTCTCAGATACCTGTGTTATCCCAGCAACAACAACCGCATTAGGTATTTTGACACCAGACTTTTGGATGAAATCCATGCTGGTCATTGCCTCAATATTGATGCTCAAATCAAATGGCTCCTGGCTGGCTTGCCACTTCTGTAACCAACTTTAAGGTATAAAGGTGAATTACAGCGCAATAATTACTTGGGCTCGTAATAAGACCCTGGCCAGAATCAGAAGACACCAAATTTGTATGGAGCCAAAGTATTGAGCAGCAATAATGACCTGGACACAATGTTAACTTGATAAAGTAAAAAATAAAATAAATAGTGTGCACACTCAAACAAAATAAAAGTATTCGTTGGGGCCCTTTAAGAATTTAGAGTTAAGCTGGCAATAGCCAACTTCAAAGGTCCTTGTGAGTGTAACTGGAATGTATGAGTGTGTGGTGTGTATCTTCTTTGGGGTAGATCGTCCTCAAAGTGGTTGGCTCGCCATCTATCACAACCGGAATATCGTCCTGGTCCTTGGACTTTTCTGTCCTCTCCAAAAAACCTGACCTATAATCCAGGTCATAAAACGTACATTCTAATCAGTCTGTTTCAGATGCATTGTTTAAGGTTAAAATGTAAAATCAAAATATTGCATCAACCTCATATTCATTGCATCAACATCTTAAATCTTATCAAATCTCACAGTTCTGTTGTACAACATTAAATTTTCAAGTATATCAAATGTGAGAACTAAACACCTAAGTTGCTCAAATATGTCTCTATTCATGTAAACAAGGGTCCAAGTAGGTCTAACCCGCCGCAAGGGTCCAAGCAGGTCTAACCCGCCGCAAGGGTCCAAGTAGGTCTAACCCGCCGCAAGGGTCCAAACAGGTCTAACCCGCCGCAAGGGTTTGAAGAAATAAACACGTGAAATAGGTTGAGTTCGCCAAAAGGAACTAAATTTAGACTGGTTTCAGAAGTAGCCGTGAAATACTTCGTGACAAATCAGCGCACAAATGTCTATCTGTGTGTATGTATATGTGTTTTGGAAGTAAGTCGATTTTACAGCACAATACGCTGCTGAACTACTTCCATTGTTTTTTATTGTTTTCTTTGTGTATCCTGCAAAAACCCACGCACTGGTGACAAAGGGGAAAGGTTGAGTTCCGCCTCATAAAACTGACACCGCTCCGTGAATAGCGCAGAGTAGAAGGGCGTGTCAGCCACCACCCCCGAGTCTAGTACCAGAGAAGGCTCTGCAGTTCTGTGATAATGGGGAATCAGCCCACAAAACTCACTGCTGACGAGCAGTGGCTAGAAAAGAAATGTCCAGGCGCCGGGCAAATCAGTGCTTGTAGATGGAGAAATCCTAAGAAAACAAAATGTCCCACTTGGGAAGGAAAATGCAGCCCCTCAGCATTAACACATCTGAAGGAAGCTCTTTAAAAGAAGCAGTTAGGCGAGACGAAAACAAAAAGAAAAAACAAGAGAAAAAAGATAAACAACCAGAAAAAACAGAACTTAACTGCCAGTTTAGTAAAACCAGAAGACGAGACACCGTGCAGTGCTCGCAATACTTTTACTAATCCACCGCCATATGCACCGCCACCACCCACTTCTGCAGCCACAGCTGCAGAACCACCCATTATACACTCACCCATATCAGGAAGAACATAATAATCCCTCATCAAGTGAAAACTAGAGATCAAAGTAGTTTAAAGTAGTTTGAAAAGGGTTGGAAACAGACCCCACTGAATAGATATAAATACAAGAAGTACAAAATAAAATAAACAAAAAGCTAAATTACATTAGAACTTCTCTTTAATGTATTCAAACTAATAATAGGAAGGATAACAACCTGTAAACTTGTATTAACAATGAAACATAGTTGGGATGACGACCATGCCCAGAATGAATGAAAGCTGATAATTCACACGAAAATATTTTAATAAAATAGAGAGATGCATAAGGTATATTAAGGCTGTGTCATTGTTCAGCCAAGGAAAGTGTGTGAAAAGTGAAGTGTCTCCAGCTTGGCCGAGGGTGAAACTGCAGATCACCCGAAGCCCTTGATGGATACAAAATAAAATATTATAATAAACTGCCTGGTTCGCCATGCAACAGAGAGAACGAATGTGACCGAAGGTTGGATCTGATATGAGGCAAACGGAAGACCGGTCTAAAAAGGTAGGCACAAACCTGTTCAGAGAAAAAGCAAATGTGTGCAGATTGGATGAATTGTAAATTATCTGTTTGCTGAGTAAGATGATCCTAACTATCAAATTGGCTCAGTAGTAGTGTATTGTAATACACTAATAAAATATTGTAATATACTATTCCTGTTATATAGGAAAAAAAGATGATAACATTAGTAATGACATAATATTAATAATAAGAGGCACCTTAGTCAGTTATGATGTGAGGTGGATAATTGTTAGAAGTAGTCTGAATCAAGCTTAAGGTTGCTCAAACTCAGTACGATGACATATGAGATGAAGAAAACGAAGAAAATATCTAAACTAATTAAGTGCATAGAGGCACTTGACCTGCTTGACAACCTGTCATCCTAGATGAGACTTTCCTGAGATATAGAGCAAACCTATAATAACAACTAATAAGCTAAACCCTGTAGACAACAGCTAAAGCTACAGGATTGAGAAGCTGAATTAAATATGTGGACACTACTAAGCTGATGAGCATGTTACACATTTTCTTTTATTTTTATTTATTTGTTTTTTAGAGCAGAAGCTGCATGCTATTAAAAGCTCACACATACAGCTGTCTGTGAGCTCAGTTTTTTCCTCACACTTCTGATTTGTTTTTGACAGCAGCTTTTTTCTTTTTGTGTCCTGGCTCATGAGTGTAAAGCGTTCATGCCATCAGCAATTTGTTTTTTGTTTTTGTTTGATTATTTTGTTGGTTTGGAAACAAATTTGTGACCACGCTTGTGAATCACAGTGACACAGTGATTAGGCATATGATTTACAAATGCCTAGTTTTAGAGCTGTGAGCTATGAGCTGTGAGCAATGCAAAGTTGTTGTTGTTGTTTTTTTAAAAATCCTAACTTAAAAGTTTGAAATATATGAGATGTGTGAATTCTTTGGAAAAAATAGAAATGACCTAAAATGCTTTAAATAAAAATGTAGTGTTGCATCTACAAAAGAAGAAGCATTCAGTAACTTGATTACAGACAAATACTGTTTTAGCACTGCCTGACTATGATAAGCCTTTCTACTTACATGTAGATGGAGGAGCAGGTT